TCAAAAAAATAGGTGATATAAATTTAGACACTAATAAAAACCACACACACACGAGCTGAAATACAAAATGTATTCTTCTAGAAAAGTTCATAATTTTGCTTTTTCATTGCTGAATAACCTAAGCTCATCTTTAAAAAAAATTCTGGGCTTATTCTCATTTCTCCTTGGTCTCTCTCTTATATTTCTCTGCTCAAATATCATCTCCTCAGAAATGCCTTCCTTAACTACTCAATTTCTCAGTGCCTTCTCATGGTCATCATTCTTTTACTTCCTATTTATATTACTACCTGAAAATGGATTTTATGTTTGCAATTATTTATTTTCTATCTCTGTCATTAGAAAATAAACTATACGTGGGCCAACCTGTTCCCTGCTGTACCCTTGATCCCTAAACTGCCTGCATATGGTATGCGCTCAATGATATTTATGGAACGAATGAATGAAACATTCCCTGTGAAAAGAGCAACTAGGTTAAAGCAGACAGCAGCAAGAGCCAGGCTGCTCACTGCCCTGCCCTCCTCTCCCACCCCAATTTTCACATCTTTAGCCCTGGATTCACATCCTTGTAAAAGATGTGAATTCTTCTGATATCGGTGGGGGAAGGAGGTTAAGGGTGGTTGCACCCACAGATTCCTATTAGTAAGGACAGGCTGGGGAGGAGAGGAGATGGTAGATCCTGCCTTACTGGTTTTTGGTTGTGAGGGAGTGGCAGGAAAACAAAAGGGTAAATGAACATTGATTTGGGGACTCAAAGAACTTTGGGGTCATTTTCAACTATTCTCTCACCTTTACCGCTATGTAGCATCTGTCCCCAAGTTACTTTCTTTTTTAGCCAATTTTTTTGTATCCATCCTTTTATTTCCATTCCTACAACCATGTTCTCCTTACATTACAGCTGGTCTATTATAACACAAATGTCCCCTAACTCACTGCTGTCTTCTAGTTTCCTCCACTCATCTATTCTGCACACAGGCATGGGATGAAAAAACTAAAATTCTATGGCATTTCCTAGCTCAAGAATATTTAATGGCTCCTTTACACCTGGAAAGAGGAAACCACTTATCCTGGTTATTTTACAAGTCATCAACTTCAACACTCCTTGAGTTACCAGAAGGCAGACTATGTCTGTCCTGTTTGCAATCTTCAGTGGCAGAGTGGGTGCTCATGAAACAACCAGTACTTCAGTGGTGTCCCCCACCCGTTCCATTCTGCATTCAGCATGTAACACTCCACACTGCACATTAGGGCACTTTGTTGTAAATACAATTCGTTTTCTTTTTCATGTGTATAACTCTTGTCCTCCTTCTCCAAAACCACATTTGGGTTTTTAGGACACACTCATTCTCTTATTTCCACCATTTCTCAGGACTGTGCTACTATTAGGCACATACTTGCTGTACAGAGTTAAACATGAGAGAGCTAATAATCTAGGTTTGAGAAGAATTTCAGTATGAAAAAAAATTACAGAGCCACACAGTACCTGTACCAGGACAGTTTATAAAGTAGCAAAAAAAAAAAAAAAAGCACCCCAAAAAACTCAAAAAACAAACCCCAAACCAACATTAACAATGTCATCAGAAAAGGGCTGGATTTAGGGTCTTTATAAGTACTTGAAATAGACTGGTAGATTTGTGTAAACTTCCTATGAGCCCAGTTTGAAAGGTGTTACAAAGACTGTCTCTGACTCTGAATCATGCTAACAACAAAGATGGCTTTTGTCTAGTGATCTGGAGACTATCCATAATCTTAACATGTTTAAGGGAACAAAAAGGAGGGAGGGGAATGGTGGGCCATGGAATGTGATATGCTTTCATATTTCTTGAAATGCAAGATACTTTGGGTCAGTACCAAAGGGGCCACTTTTTATATAAACACCTTTCCATCTCTACAGAGATTCTGTATGAACTTGTGCATTATGCCAACTAATTAGAGCACTTAGATGTTACAGCTATATGCAATTTATAAATAATTAGTTTGTAAAGTGCTTTGAAAATAAAAGTGCTAGGCAGGTACTCAGTTACTATACATTAAAAGCTTTTGCTATGTAATCATATTATTTAATAATTGGCTCTTTAAAAGGCATAGTAGTTTACAGATGAACAGAATTTCTGATCTTGAATTATTAGCATGAGAGTGAAATGCTGTTAAAGAACAAATGAGAGACACTGATCGTTTCTTCACAGTATATATATAAATATGAATGATTTATATTCATTTCCCTCACCCTTTTTTAGACGAACTTAGCCTTCCCTCAGGTCTCTACATACCTTATGCAATGATTCCTTCCGTGTATACAGGACTCTCGGTTAACCTGCCTGCCCTGTCCTCAGTTTTTTCCCTGCACCCATCTGCCTTCTGAAGGTGTTTTGTATGAATCTGTGAGTTTACGGCCACCCCCGAGATTCAAGACTGCATGCCACATGATCAATGACAAATCCTTTTAGGTGCAACGAAGTCATGAGATGTGGTGGGCGGTCACCACTGGGTGCCTTTCCCGTGTGAACTGTTATTAATCCTGTTTACTATCCCCACAGTCTACCCATAGGCAAAACTTTGGAAGATGCAAATAAGTTTTTGATCCTTTTCCACATCCCTTTTGGGCTTCTTTATTTCTTCAGGGCTAATTCCCTTACGTTGGCAGTGACTTTCCAGAATCTCTATCACCCTAGGAAAATATTCTCCATCTTTGCCCCATGACATCACTGCTCCCATCTGAACTCATCTCTCCAATGTCCTTCATATATTTCCTTTATTGGAAAACCAAACTAAGACCTCTGTATAATGAATGCTAATGTTTATTCTTCTTAAGCAATAAACTAATGCTGCCACTGCCCAGTGACCTCCATGTTAACTCCAGACGACATTTTTCTGTGCTCATCTGACTCATTCAACATCACCTTCTCCTACCTGAAAGCCTTGGCTTCAAATACTTCTTGCACACTTTCCTATTACCCCACTGGTTACTATTCTTTGACCCAACCTTTAAATGCTGAGGTTGTCTAGGGCCCACTTCTTTGTTCCTCTCCATTTTTTTTTTTTTTTTATGGATTTACACCTTTAAGGAAAGGACTCCCAAAGTTTATCTCCAGCTTAGATCTTTTCCATGACCTCAAACTCACATATCCACTGCCTACAATGTTCAGAATGGAACTTTTGACTCCTGTCATCTTTTCTACCTCCCAGCTTATTTTCCTCCTTGAAGTTCCCCATTTCAATTATCAGCCCAAAATTCAGGCAGTAGTAATGTTTCTTCACCTTCCACGTCCAGTTCCTGAGGTGTACCAATTCTGTGCCAATTCAATTCTAAAATATACCTCGAATCTACCTTCTCTTCTCCATCATTAGCTTCCACCTTTCCAGGCCACTTGAACCCTTATTTATAATGTATCTCTCTGCTTCTACTCTGGACTCCCTGTAATTCATTCCCCCACACTGCGAAGTAATGAAGATGTCATTTCCATTGTACTTAAAATCCAAACTCCCTACCACCTCAGCTCTTCCTTCCATCAACTCCTCAAAGGAGAGGCCCTTCCCCCTCTTGTCTACTATGCTACAAACATCCAAATCTTTCAATATCTCAAACCACCAGTTTTCTGCTTCAGGACCTTTGTACATGCTATTCTCCCAGAATACATTTTCTCTCCTCTTTGCACAGCCAGCTCCTCTTCTTGTAATCTCAGGAAGACTTTCCTTGACTTCCGTGCCTAAAGCGAATTTCTTTCTCATGTTTTCTACCCTGATCTTATATTTATTTCACAGAATTACAACTTAAAAAAAAAAATGTTGCTCCTGTTATAACACATGCTCTATGAGAACAGGCACATACCAGGTGCTCAATAAATACAGAAATATCTTTAAAGAATCTGACCGAATGTAGAAAATGTCGGTTCTATGGCAGGCTAGTGGGTCAGATTTGAGTGACTGCAAGGCTACATGCCATAACTACCTACATGAATTCTCACAGTATTTACTTCATGAATGTCCACTACATGTCAGGTGTTGTGCTAGCTACCAGGATCATGTTGATCAGCATGTTGGTATGGTGGGTAGATAACATAACTAATAGCAGTGCCAAGACCAGGAAATGCAAGCACACAGAAGTACCCAAACTAGGCTAGGGAGTCTGACACATAAGTTTTGACTTAGAGTATGGCAGGAAAAAGACCGCTCCAGGAAGAGCGAATAGCATAAACAAAGGTCCCCAATGCACAGAGCACGGGGGGGTGGGGTGCTTGGGTTCAAGGATGAATTAAGAGTCAATTTGGGGTAGGAAATAAGTATGAGAGACCAGTTTGAAGAGGTAGATAGGATGGCTCTTAGATGTGATTCACTAATATTTTAAGTTTTCCAATAAGTTATTTCCCCCACATGAAAATTTCCTTCTCCTTGGCCTTACTTTCACTCAAATAGTGCTGCTTCTATGAAATCCTAGGCTAAAGATACTTACCTAAGGCCTGAAAAATGTTATCTAGTTATCCCAGTTTTCTCCTCCTACAATATAATCAAACTCTCTTGCCCTACTTAGGTCATGACTAAATATTTTATTAGTATTCTGAAATCCAAGCAGTAAACTGGTATTTTTTTATAAATGTTACAAAGATAGAGCCTGATACCACCTAAACTGTCATGAAAAACCAGAATTCTCACAATTCTTTCAAATTATTCCCCATCCTTGCCCAGTCTACCAATCATAGCAAATGATGCAATTCTCATAATTAACAAAAAATGTAGCAAGAAGCCAAGTCCCCAGCCCAACCTTCTTTTTTAAACCAACCACAGTCTACCTGGGGTCATGCTCTATTGCATCTACCCTTTCCCCCACCACCTTAATCACAGATATGAATGTATACTCTCTTTAATTCCTATGATAAACAGTTCTTGTCTAGGCCCCTTATTTTCTCACAGCTTCCTCACTTTCAATGTTGGCTCAATCAAAAGAAAAAAAAGTCATCCTTGAGGACCATTTGGTTGCATGGAACAGAAACCACTCAAACTAGTTCAAACAAAAGAGGGAATTTATTAGAAGAACACAAAGTTTCTTGAGGGGATTCCAACAGCTGTAATGGATCAATAATTAAAACTACATCTTTGGAAGGACAGGGCATGCTGTAATCACAAATTTCTAATTCTAGGGTCTACACGATCACGAAGAGAATACCCTAGAGGACAGTCCTCCTTGTACACTGCATAAGGAACTAGAATGTAGATTCATTTCTGCTTGCTTTTTGATCCTTATAGTCCTTTATGCTGGCCTCAAACTTGTCAAGCACATGTTGGCAGACATTCAGGAGCTCAGTCAGGCCTCTCTGAAATGGGTCAACAGCTGGAAGAGCACCTCGAGTCTGAATGCGTAAATTAATTTTGCTCTCTGAAGGATGGGTCGTAGTGTAACCACAAAATTCCACTTCTGGGTTCTTCATGATCATGTAACGCAGAGAATTTCCTAGGGTATGGTCCTCCTCGTGCAATACAAATGTCACACAGTGTCTATCTGTTCCAGCTGCCTGGACCATTTCCAGGGCTGTCTTCCTCTCGCCTTCGGCCATTGAGGTCTTCAATCCAGATATTTTTCTACACACATATATTTTATAAAAATGAGATCATACTGAATATTGTTTTATAACTACTTTTTTTTCACTTACTATACCACAATTACAACACATTATTACTCTAATCTACTTCAGTTACATAGAACTATTAGCCTCCACTTTTCCTGCATCCGCAAATTCTATCAATAAATAATTTACTGCCTCCAGTTTTTCTCTACTCCATTTGACCATCCACACTGGCCACAAGGGGAGTCTTCTTAGAATAACACAAACTTAAATGTTTTCAAAAATATTCTTTTGGTAGAGTCACAAGAAAGGGACAGGATTAAAATAGGGTGGGTCCTGCTGGAAGATGAAAGTAAGTTGAAAGGCTTAGAAAAGCAGATTGCTCTAGCATAAAAAGAGGCTCTAGATTACCAATGTACAGGCCCAGCTATGGCTTCCATTTGAAACTAGGAGAATGGAAGGTCCAAGAGACAAGAGGGAGAAGATGAGCTCAGCGAATGGAGTGGCGGCTTTATGAGCAGTATGTACAGAAAAGGAACGTGAGTGGTAGTTACAAGGATAAAGACCTCACCGAACACACTAGTACCGTCACTCAGGAAACTGTGGCGTGATTTTACACACTGCTGTTCTAATGGGGTGGGCAGTTTGGGGACTTAACTCTGGTCTCTCAACTTGACTTCCCGCCTTGATAGCTAGTGTACCTCTGAGCATCTCAATCCAAACACAATCATGTCTTCTCCCCTCTTCTCCCAACCGGGCCACCCCTCCTCCCTATCTCCTCCCTTCTCTCAGCGCCCCGAGTCAGGCTCCTGCCGCTGGGCCAGGCCGCGGAGGCTGGGCCCGGCCGGGCCGCGTGCCCCTCGGCCACCCGCCCCCACTGGGCGCGGCCCGCTCCGCCCGCCCGCTCGCCCGCTCGCCTCCTCGGCCGTTACCTCTCCAGCTCCTGGTCCTCTTCCATCGCGGGGGCGGTTTGGGGATCCTCAGGAAGTGCTGGCGGACCCGAGGCTCTGCCCCATCTCGCGAAACGTGCAGGAGAAGCAGGAAGGAAGGAGCGACCGACGGAAGGAGCGGGGAACGGAAGGAAGGAGGAGGAGCCGCAGCGGCGCGGCGGGGCCCAGTCGCCGGGCGGGGCGTGGAGGCTCCGCCCCCGAAGCCCCACCCCCGGCGCAGCGCGGGCGACAGCGCGAGGCCCGGCTGCTCACCTGGCGCTCCGCGCGCGAGCCCGCCCGTGGAGTGGGGACGGGAGGAGGGAGGCAGGGTCGGCGCCCATTTCATCTCCAGGCCTAGACAGGCCTGCGGGCGCCCGAGTTCAGCCTTCGGTACCTTCCCCCAGGTGGTGGCGAAGGGGGCGGGGTCCTACCTGCCGTCCCCAAATCAGCTTCCTTCTAAGAGGGGCCTTTCTGACTTGCGGCTAGACTGACTGGAAGACTGTGTCACTGTCAGGCTGGCCCTTCCCAGGACCCTAACCCCCAGGGGCCCTTCATGGGACAACAGGATTAGACTATAGTTGACCAATACACCTTTAAAAAGGAAAAGGATAATGTGCGAAGGGATGACTTTCACAACAGAATGCAAAGGTTTAAGACGGTATTTGTCTCACCAGGGATCTTGCAGCTGCATTTCTCAACTGGGTCAAAGGACAAGAGTTTCTTTTTCTCTTTTGGGCAGGAGTGAGAGTTTGGGAGGAAACTGTCCCCCAGTCCACCCTTTCCTGGGATCCTTTCTACCCCTGGAGCAGTCCTCCCCCGCTAGGCACTTCCTTTTCCCTTTTTACCCTTTTGGCTCCTTAAACGTCCTTACCTGCGGGACCTTTCTCTCACCTTTGTTCCCAGGTGCCCCAGCCCCTGCCTGGCCAAGCTTTAACCACCCGTACCCGCTCTCCACCCTCCTTCCTTTGTACCGCCCCTCTCTCAGCCCCCTCAGGTGCTCTCCCCCGCCAAGCACCCCTTCTCCCTTCCTCCGGCCAGCCCGTGTCCCTGCCCTACCCTCCTCTCTTCTCGCCCAACACACCTATATTTCTCTTCCCTGCTCCACCTGTTCTCCTGTTCCCCCTGCCCCGCAACCCCCTAGATGTGCACTCCCTCTCCAGCTGTTCCACTCTCCTAGCGGTGGTCGCGGGTGCGCGCAGACACTTCTGGCGCGTCTTCTGCAGGGGAATCAGGCAAGCAGCGGGGACAGCCCGGGGCGGGTGGGGGAGGGCGGGCGGCGAGGGGCGGAGCGGGCTCACTCTAACCCGGGAGTGATGGCCTATTCTGGTCCGCCCCCTGAGCTCTAGGATAGGCGGAGCTGCCCTCTGGCCCGCCCCTCTCCCGCCCTGTGCTGCCGCCGATTGGCCCGGGTATGTGTCGGGTTGGGCCGCTCGGCCCCGGCGCTCGCCCCCGGGAAGGCAGCAGGGGCGGTTGAGAAGTGAAGTCTTGGCCAGAGTTTGCTTCTTGCCAGGAAATCCGCGGCGGCGGCGGAGATTCCCGGCGGAGCAGAGCCCGGCTGGCTCCCCGCTCCCTCAGCGGGCCGCGGAGAGCGGAAGCTGCAGCTGAGCTGCGGCGCCGGGAGCCCGAGCGCGCCCCGGGCAGCCGCGCTTTCCCAGTGAGTAACTTTGCGGTGCCCGCCTCGCCCCGCGCCCTCTCTCCGGCTCCGGGCGGCCGCCTCAGGTGCGGGCGTCGGCGGGGTGTGGGGCGGCGCCGCGCCCCGGGAGCCGGCCAGATAGGCGCCGCCGTCCTCCGCGGCTCTCTTCGCTCGCCTGGGCTACGGGGGAGCGCGGACCCGGTTGTGGGGCTGGCTGCGCTCGTCCGGGGAGGAAGACGGCTGTCCTGCGCCCTGCGCCCGCCGCTGGGCAGGCGCAGGAAAGGCGGGCAGTCCCCGGCTGGTAGCATTTGGTGGTTCCGGCCACCGTGGTGCAGATCCTGGCGTCGTTTGCTTTTTAAGGGAAGAGAGAGGTGGGAATGAGTTTTTAAATTTTCTGTGTGTGTGTTGTCGGTAATGAGAGTGGCACTAGCTGCCTCCACATCGGATTTTGATCTCCTGGAAAGAGATGGGGAGAGATCATTCTCTCCGCCCCAGCCTGTTGCCTATCAATTCTCACCTTTCCCTTTAGGCTGGAGAGGATGAGAAAGATTTGATATCTTCCAGGGGGTAATTTCAAAATATAGATCTTGATTTGGAAGCAGTTGCACACAAAGCACCATTCAGGAAATACATCATTCGCTTTTCAAAGATTTATGCCACGTTTTAGCCAAGGACTTTTGACTTATATATAGTGTTTCTTCTAGTATTTCAGTTAATAATTAAGGTTATGGGTCCAGACGTTCGTATCTGTCAGGAGCTAAAGTAAACTCATGCATGGGCTTCACTGTATAGATTTATCTTTTGAAATCACAGAAATCAGAACCGAAGTTGAGTGAGAAGCAGTGACGGTACAGGGGGAGGAAACAGTTGTGAGCTCCGGTTTATTGGACTGCCTTCACTTTAAGAATTTCACATTCTTGCAGCAATAGTACTTACTTGGAAATTGGCCTTCTTCCCAGGACAGATTTTGATTTTTCTTTTGCAAGTACTATGATGCAGCACCGATGAAGTTGGAGCTCAGTAGATCAATTTTATTTACTTTGTTAGATTTGATTACTACCCCCACACCCCTTTGGAAAATGGACTTTGGCAGGTAAAGAAGGAAGTAGCAATCTACTGTCTATCCTTTTTGGCCTGTCAAAGCTTTCTTGAGTCATGAATAACAAAGTTTTGCCTTTTTAGCTTGTCCAAACCCCACATGTGAGTTTTCCCCTGGGATAAAATGTAGGCCAGATCAGAACCAAAGTAGAATAACACTACTTTTAATTTGGCCCACTTGTGTGTTAACGTTCTTAATTTATGTCTTGTTTCTCTCATCAACTTTGAAATTTTTCGTTATTTATTAATTTAGCCACTGATAAAGCACCTACTGCATGCCAGGCATTGATGACAGGGGTTGGTTCTTGCCCAGAAGTTGCTCATAGTCTCTTTTGGAAACTAATCTATACCTCTGTTCCACTAGTTACCGAAAGTAATTTGAACAAAGTGCTGTGGGAGCTTAAAAGAGCATTTCTGCCTGGAGTTTGTTAGAGAAGGCCTAACATAGGCACTTTTCAAATTGATGTGAGATTTTGCCAGGTGCATTGTAGGCAAGTATTATGTAGGCCACTTGCAAATAAATGCATGTATCTTTACGATATTGCTTTATGAGATTTGCATGTAGTCAGTCTGTCTGAAGGACACTGTCTGAGGTTGAAGTAGTAGTCAGGGGCTGGTATATTATTCATTTCAGAGCACTTAGCACCTTGCCTTGCTTACAGTGGGCACTCAAATATTTACTGAACTGACTTGAACAAGAAAATGATGGATTTTATATACCAAATTAAGAACTTTGGACTTTATCCAGTCAGTGATAAGGAGCTGCTAATTTTAAGCAGGAGAATGTCATGACAACATTTGCATTCCAGAGAGATAATCTGCAGCAGTCTGGAAGGTGGTGGGGGTCCAGATGGAGTTAGACAAAGTTGGAGGCTCTTACAACGTAGGGGTTAAGTGCTCAGGGGTTCTCCATTCAGATTATCTGGGTTGGAATCAGGCTCTGTCCCTGGGTTACCTCTTTGTTCGTTAGGTTCTTCATCTCATAGAATTTGGGGGATAAAACTTAAAAAAAACATGTGTATTAGAATAGTGCTTGCTATGTAGTAAGGACTTAGTAAATGCTAGCTGTTATTCTGTGTGAAGGCAGTGGAAGGAGAGATGATGTGGCATTTAGGAGGTACGACTAGGAGGCAGAACTGGGTAAGTGACTAGATAGTATTAATGAGACAAGGAAGATTCCTAGGTTTTTTGAGGCATTGGTGTATGCTGATTAAGTTTGCTGTGGAGTTAGAACAGGGGTTGAATTCTAGTTCTATCACTTACCTTTAGAATTACTATTCCTACTGAGCTTTGATTTCCTAGCATTTAGGAAATGATTGTCCTACCTGTTCAGTTGGATTTGAAGATCAAGTGAAATTACGCATGTAATACCCCTGGCAGAGTAGGTACCACATTCCAAGTGCTCAATAAATATTAGTTGTTCCTTTAGATGATGACATTAATGAGCTAGTGGAATGTTGGAGGATATGAGAAGGAACAGTTAAAAACAATTGTTGGTAGAGGTGGGGAAGGGAAGTTCAATTTGGAACCAACTCAATGAGGTGCTAAGTGGATGGTTCAGGTTTCTGTGATGCAGTTGTTGAATTGATGAGTCCCACAGGAGCTAGGAGAGAATAGAAAAGAAAAAGAGTTCACATAAAGCCTTTGTGGGTATGGTAAGCTTTATGGAAGATTTGGGGGAAGGGGGAGGAGGGATTTACAGTGTAGCAGTGCCAGAAGTTTGACATTGAATATTGGACATTTCTATCTTAAAATGCATTTTGGCCATCATCAAAGGAGAACTCCAGGCTCATATAATCTGGTTGGCTCTGTGCCCTTCTCCCCCTCCTCTTTCTGATTGCCACCCTAAAATCCAAATACTTTTTAATTTTATTATGCAGAACCATTTAACTTTTCCCCCCTGGTGACAGGGCCACAATTTACTCCAGGCCCACCTTCCTGTATCCAGATGCAACAAGGTTTTGGAAAAAGTCAGAAGTCTCATTTCATAGGTTCCACTCTATTTAGAAAGTAGCATTGGTTGAAAAGTTATATATATATACACACACACATATACATATATATGTACGTACATATTTTGCATGTAGAATTGTAGTCGTAGGAGAAGATAGGGACTGGCCTAAATTGACCCTGTTAGAGGGCTTGGGAGTTTTACAAAACAAATCCCCTTTAGCTTTCCTGTCATGTGTTTCTTTTCCTCAGAAAATGCAAAACAGTAGAAAAATCTGTAGTTATGTAAGTTTTTTTGTTTGGTTGGCTTCAGAAAAATGTGGTTATTTTGTGTGTTACCCTAACAAGAAGTTATTAAGAGGAATTTTTTAAAAAGCAAGTGCTCATGATGTACATTGCAATAATAAATTGTCCTCTAGTTAGTATGCTTTTAAAGAAGCAGGTGTTGTAGGTTCTATCTTTAGAATGTATCCTTCTTACAGCAGGGATCCTGTTTTGCTCCCTGCAGAATCCCCAAGTACTTAGAACAATAAATATTAATATATGTATAAATGAATAAATTGGATCAATTGGCTTTGATCTGTCTTGGCCTGCAGACTTCTCCTAATCTTTAGAACAATCACTGGTCTGAGGGAAAACAAAAGAGAGAATTGATCCATCGAGGAAGCTTAAAGTGCTTCATGTACTCACTGGAAGATACTGGAACTATGACAGAATTGATGGCTATTATGATTCAACTGTTTTAGTGCCAGCTGCTGTAATTATTTGCATAATTCCCTCCTTGCCTCCCCCCACATTTTACTGCCATACTTGTGCAGTGTGGTAAGGAGGAACAGACTGATACGGGGATATAGCTTTGGTCAGAGGTAAACTGACAACAGCTGCGTCATAAATTTGTGCTCTCTTGGCTAGCAAAACTCCAGGGCAGAGTCTCTGAAGTTTTGATAAGGATAGCTAGAAAGCTAGGAGCAGAAGTGTTGTAGGCAATAGGATTTAAATATGGTTTATGCCTTTATCTTTCCAGCCTGGAGATTTAGGACTGTTACTTCTGGCAATCACTTTCCCTCAGTGAAGAAATTATGTGCGGGAAAAATTATTTTTTCTCAAAATTAGGCTGAGTAAGAGAAATGAGAAATAGAAGCAAGTGCAGAAAATAAGCAACAGGCAAGTAACATACTATAAAACAATCATCGTATGTCCATTTTAAAAGTATACCACCTTTGTATGTAAAACAAGTGAGGGTTTAATTTTTTACTTTAGTAAGAGTAATCTTAAAGTTTTTTTAAATAACAAATAGCCCTAGAGTGTGTAATAAGGCTAACATATAAAGTGTTTACAACCAGGTTTTGAGGACCTATATCTTATGTAAAATAAGATGTGCTTGGCTATAATAAAGTGTATGCAATATTGTGAAATATATATTAATATTTGCTCTTCATCTTCATTTTTCTGGCATAGAACTCCTAAAATCCTTGGAATCTTCAAAGTACTGAGTGTCTTTTTGTATGCTAATGATTGACTGTTGGCTGGCAGGATGGTGCTGGTCACCAAAAGATGAAGACAGAGTTAGATGGTGGGGATTTTCACCCCCAGCCCCCAACCTCTAGAGAAAAGAGGGGCTGAAGGTTAAGTTGATCACTAATGGCCAGTGGTTTAATCAATCATGCCTACTTAATCAAGCTTCCTTAAGACCCCAAAAGGACAGAGTTTGTGTTGTAGAAACCACAAGAGGGTTTCATACTAGGACCATTTGCTCGTTGCACAAAGATCCAATTATTGACACAACAAGGATTGCCAAGGAAGAAGGGAACTTTTAATATTACTGACATCTTGTTGGGAGAACAGGAGAAGCTGTTTCAAATCCACAGGGAGATCCTCCGCTTTTAAAGGAGGGGCCATGTGCCTTGGAGCAGGTCTTGGTGTATTTCACAAGGAGCCACAAACATTGGGGGTAGGTTATGGGGAATGGTGAA